TTATTGAATCTCACAGCAAGCCTGTGAAGCAGCTAATACTCTCCCCAATTTGTGAATGAAGAGACTGAGGTTCAGAGAGGTTAATTAACAAATGCAAGCTTATACAGCCAGTGGGTGGTGGGGCTGGAATATGAATGCAGGTTATCTCTTTCCAAAGTCTGTGTTCTTTCCCTTTGACTACCAACTAAATGACAGGGGACACTTGAAGGATAAGGACAGTTTATATGACCCTGTGATATCTACTCTGAATCCCAAATTCACACTTGTGTTTAGGAGGATGTCAATTTAAGCCTTAGGAGCCCAGGCTCTAGAATCAAGGTTTTTAACCTGGATGAGCAGATGTAACTCTTGTGCTCCATGGACTTAGATAAGAAACTATGTTAGTTTCTCATTACAGTATTACTAAGTTCTAGCTGAATTTAGCATTTCCATCACTTGCCATGTAGGCAGTAAACCACAATCATACCTAAATAAAGAAACGACAGCACATCACAATGTTTACAGAGACAGAGACCAGTGACTCACACCAGTAATCCTAGCTACTCAGGAGGCTGAGATCTGAGGATGCCAGTTGGAAGCCAGCCTAGGCAGGAAAGTCCATGAGACTCTTACCTCTACTTACGCACCAAAAAAGCTGGAAGTGGAGCTGTGGTCCCATGGTAAGGTGCTGGCTTTGAGCAAAAAAGCTTAGGGGGAGCACCCAGGCCTTGAGTTCAAGCTCTAGTACCAGCGTACACACACAAAAAGAACAGTGTTTACAGAATCTCCAAATACCACTTCTGTAACTCATGTGTTGGACCCACGGTAGATTTTTGTTATTTAATGCCACACATTAAAAATAGCACAATTATGTTATGTATTTGTTTTTAGAAGTGTTGTAATAATTGTGGTTCAATGTAATTAAATTGATTTTACTTAATTTTAGGCATTTAGAAGTATTATTCTGAGCAAGGCTCCATCGGCTTCACCTGACTGCCAAAGGGTTCCGGATACAAAATGGTCCAGATGCTCAGCTCTGAGCATGAGTTCTGGAGCCAGATCCAGCCAGTATTATTTGCAAGTTAAAGCACATTAAGCAGGTTCCATAGCCTTATGAATGGACCTAAACCCAGGCTTCTCACTTCCCACCTTTAACAGGTGGCTGCATAATTCATTGTTGGGATGTCAGGGTTCAGTGGGCACTTTCCTGGCACTGTAGGATGTACCACCATGGACTTCTGTTTTCTAGATAGCAACCCACTTCCAGTTGTGACAACCCAAACTTCTCCTCCAGACATTGCCACATGTCTCCAAGGAGCGGGGAGGGGCAGGGTGGCCTCAAGTGAAGTGTACAGGGCAACACTAGAAGATTCCTTGGGGTTAACTGAGATAATAATGTGTGGGTGCTGGAGCACTCAATCAGTGTTTGGTTTTTAAAAATCCATTCCTGGGGGGCTGGGAAGGTGGCTCAGTGGTAAAGTCCCTGGCTTGCATGCATGAGGCCCTGGGTTCAATTCCTTAGCAGCACATAAACAGAAAAAGCCAGAAGTGGTTCTGTGGCTCAAGTGGTAGAGTGCTAGCCTTGAGCTGAGGAGCTGAGGGACAGCACCCAGGCCCAGAGTTCAAGCCCCACAACTGGCAAAAAAATAAATAAACATGGCCCAATGATTAATCTTAAAAAAAAATCCATTCCTGTTAGATTAAGTTCAGAGTCATGGGGTCCAGGTATAGATCCACAAGAAAGGTCCTCTTGAACCATTGGTTCCTGTTATTATAGTAACTCGGATGGGGAGTCCTGGAGTACCGGTCTGTGGTGAGCTCATACTGGGATGCAGAAGAGAGGACCTGAAGCTGCTTCATGACCTGAACAATGAGGGCAGAGAGCTAAGCTTCAGATAGGCAGGAAAGATGGAAAGCATCTAACCCAATCTCAGTTTCTTTAAGGCAAGAAGATCAGGGACAGCAGGGAGCAAGTTCTTGGCTGCAAATATTTGCCATGGCTTCTCCTTTTATTCTAAGGCAAATACTTACCTCCCTCACATGACCCCTGGGCCTTTATGGGCTGGCACTTGTTGACCTTGTAGCCCCCATCTCCAACAACCATCTCCAACAACCCAACCATTCCATTTCTAAAATATACCATTCATCTCCCATTCTTCCTGTAGCCACAATGGCTTGGAACCCATGGATAAGCTCTCAGCCTGACAAGTTTGTGGCTTCCATTCAGGCAGCTGGGCCACACACCTGCTGATTTAAAATGATGCATTGTGGACAGCCAGGGACTGACTTCCAGCCCACTATGGGATGGTGCAGTCACGGTCTGCTACGGCAGTTAACCACAACTTCATTGACGCACTCGATCTGTGTTAAGTTTTATGATTCAATACCACCATCCTCAATATTCTCCCTCCCTGACAAGCAACTGCTGCTCTCCGGGGCCCAGTATTTCCTGCTAGACCAGGCATCTTGACTGTGGACTTTCCCCTTTATCACCTTGGAAATGTATGGGCGTTAACTTTTATGCTTTATATCCAAAATAGACAATAAAATTAGGAAAGACGGTTAGCAATAATCTACAGGGTTGCCTGTGACGATGAACTGAGTCCTTCAGAGTCCTTGGGGGTGGGGGGGGGTGGCATTTCTAGAGGTTGTCCTGTCCTCCTGAGCAGAACTTTCCATAGCATACAGGCCAGGGCTGCGCTGAGAAGGAGGGCAAAGGCCTGATGAGGACCTGTGAAGAGAAGTCCAGGAGGTCAGGAATAGCTGTCAGTCTATCTGCTCAGGATAACCGCTAAAAGCTTCGCCTCGAGCTTCACTTGGAGGGTGATAGGGTGCAGGTGGGTCAAAGGTGACTGGGTGTACAGGGCGGAGTTAATCACACACACAGCAGCCTCCCTACCACTCATAAGGGAGACAGTAGCTTCCGGGAATCGGATATTTACTGTGAGCTGGTCTGTGACTTCCCTAGGCCGTCATTCTCCTGCAGTCCTTCCTCAAGGCAGAGATAAACCATCTCTAACTTCTGCATGAAGAAATCAAGGTCCAAAGAAGTAACTTTTCTGACAGCCAGGTAACAGAGGAGACAAGTTGGGAAGCTAGGTAGCATTCCCTTCTGAAGCCTCAGCTCTTCCATGATGCGGTGCTGCCTCTGTGGGAAACAGCTGGAGATGGGGCTGCCCTAAGGGTGGGGGTGGGGGCTGCCTGCTGGGTACTGAGGGAGGGAGAAAGGATGCAGAAGCCATTGAACATAGGGCCCCAGAATCCTCTGCATTTCACAATCCTGGGCCTGACGTGTGTCTGACTTCTGCAGAAATACGAACCAGGCAGCCTTTGGCCCTGTGCCAGCTGCTGGATTGGGTGTAATTAGGTGGGAAAAGGTCCTGAAGATTCCACACCAGTAAGCCACACCCTTGCAATTAAGAGAAGCTACACGGAAATGAAGTGTGAAGATGTCCATGCCTATTACTGCGTTCATGACGGGGAGAAATCAGCCAGAGCTCATGCTTGTGGTTCTGTGGGAGTCAGTGACCTTCCTGTTGGCCTTCACCTTAGGCACGCTCTTGGGGGATGGCCCTTGGCCCTCCCCAAGGTGAAGCACATGTTGCTGGACACGATTCTCCGTTACACTGCTAGGATACCGATTCACCACATGCCAGGTCTGTGTTCTCAATGAGATGGCGGGGGGGGGGGGTGATCCTTCATCTCTTACACTCAAGAGGGATGCTGAAAAGAAATGAGTCTGAATCAACATGCTTGGAATACCGCGAAGATTCTTCCTGCCACATACACTCATTACAGTGATGAAAAATCACCATTGAGTTTGTGATACGCTCGCAACGCAGGGAATCCTGGGGACGTGGTTGGGAATTGATGCTGCAGGCGAGCAGGCCTCGCCTTCATGCCTGCAAGATGCCCGTGGCACTGTGCTGCCTGTTCCCACAGGGGCTGGGGCTGGAGGCAGTCCTGCGTGTGGTCTGTAGGTGAGGTGCTGCCTGCTGCTGAAACATTTCCTGCAAGGAGGACGGGACCGCCCCAGACATAGTCCCCAACCCCCACCTCTTCTGGCCATGAAAAATGATACGCAAACCTGTATTGGGCATGGGAGAAAGGAGAGGTGTGGGAGTGATGAAGTCTGGTTCCTTGGGGAGGATGCAATATGGCGGACTCCAGGCACCCATACTCTCAGGGCAAGTGATGTTTATCCACAGACCTCTGTAAACGCCAGCCCTTTGGAGAAGATGCAGCTGGTGATGGCGAAGTTGCACCAGGGGCAGTGTGAGGCTGTCACTCAAGCCATCTATCATGTCCCAGTGCGGTACCCACATGCTTAGCACTCGTTACTGCTGGTGGCACCGCTGCCTGAGGACGGCTGTTCCCGGGGAGTGGAGACGCCAGCCTTTCCCATGTGGTGTCTCCCTTGGCCTGATGCTCGTTATCTTTTACCTTTTATTTCCATCGCCCGAGATCACTGCCACCCACTTCCGGCCCACCCGCCTGACTCCACTCCACTATGAAAGTCACACTTCAAGCTGTCATTTTCTTTTTAATTTTTAATCAGTCTGTGTCAAGAAAAAAAAAAAAAGGACTCGATCAAGCTTCCAGCTCTTACCGCTCTGTCAGCACAGCAATTTTATGGATCAGAGTTTTGTTTATGTTAGTCTAAGACCCAGAGGAGGAAAGGAAGAGACACTTCCAGACTCAGAACATTTTTTTTAAGTCAGTCTATTTCTTAGGATCAACACTTAGTAGATGTCATGAGACACTGGTGGGAATGTGGGATGGTCAGGCAGCAGAGGTATGAAAGCAAGAAGGGACAGTGGTTGGGGGCTGGTGTGTGTGTGTGTGTGTGTGTGTGTGTGTGTGTGTGTGTGTGGTGTGTGTGTGTGTGTGCATGTGTACATGTGTGTGCCAATACTGGAGCTTGAACTCGAGGCCTAGGTGCTGTCCCTTAGCTGGCTCTCTACCACTTGGAGATAAGAATCTCACAGATTTTCCTGCATAGGCTGGCTTCAAATATGATCCTCAGGTCTCAGTGTCTTGAGTACATAGGATCACAGGCATGAGCCACTGGTGCCCAGCTTACATTCACACTTTCTTTGGAGGCAGAATATGTTTACAGAAACAATTTCTATTTGGAAAATAAAAGCAGTTAAATTTTGGAGTATGGGTAACATAATAGTCATCCAGAATGGGATGCCTGATTCAGACAAATTGTTAAGTGGATTCTTACTTCAGTGTCCAAACCAAACATCTCCACAAGATGCATTCGAACACATCCCCACCATGTGCAAGGTCATAGGACTTAATCACACACCATGGTCCACATGGCATACCATGAACACAAATGCTGATGCTACGTCACCAGAAGACAGCACAGGGTACGTGTGAGCTCCACTCTTTGAACACATTTCCAGAAAGCAGACGGAGTCCTCTTTCCTTTCCTCTGTTACTGGAACTGTCATATCCTGCCTTGAGTGGAGTTATCCAGATGGAGGAAGATGGTCTGAATGTCACATGAGAGCCTTTCCTTGGGAGCCAGGTCCTTTCTGAGAGGGTGCGGGGAGGTAGGGCGGGAGTAGGTTCTGCTCCTTGCCCACAGCTCGGCAGGGACCTTTTGCAGAGACCGACCCATCTGAATCCGATGTCCCCAGACAGTTTGAAGCAGATTTTAGAAGCTATTTTACATAATGTGTGACATGCTTTCGGAAGAGCAAGGAGTACTCACAACAAAAGTCAGCAGGATGTGCGGGGGGGGGGACTGTCCCCCATCACACGGCATGAGACACCGCACACCATCTTCCAGGGAGGTGCCCGGGCACCCCCTCTGCCCTTCATCCCCACTGGTCTTGGTAAACCCTGGAGTCTCACTTAAAAGCAGTGCACCTGCAGTTTGTCAGACTCACTGTTACACTGGCGATGTATGATGGACATCACTGTGCCCATGTAGATAAATTAGAAAACTAGAACCTCCTCCAACTCCTCAAGCTCTGTCCTTCAGTGGCCTCACTCCAAGGTTTTAAGGTTCTTTGCCCCAAAGGAGTTTCACCTGGTTAGGGATCTTCTTCCATCAGAGGAATCTCTGTAAAAGAAGAGTTTTTTTTTTTTTTTAACTTAGTACAATCCTAACACACCAGAATTTGCAACTCTGAGCTGTACTAAACTATAATTCCAGAGATTGGTGATGAGAAGAAAACATTAAGTTGGGGGGAAAATCAAATAAACCAACTCCCCCACAGGACATCTATATGCTGACCAACAATCATGACCTGATTCTCAGGTCATAAAACATAAGATGTTAGATTTTTAGGACAGGCCTAAGAGTTAGGAATGCACATGCCAAGAGGCAGTGTGGCGGGCAGGCAAGGGACTCTGGGACTACTGACATTTACGGTGGATAGAAGCAAAGATTCCTGTTCTCATTAACAAAGCTACGCTGGGGCTTTCCTCCTGTGGGAAACAGAGCCTTGAAGAATCAGATGTATTTTTCTCCTCCTTTACCAGGAGTTACATCCTTTCTCTGCAAACAGGTACAAATATACCTTTTTCTTCCTATAGGGAAATTCTGCGCACTGAATTGCTCTGGGTTGGGCTGTGGCTGGGCCCTGGTACACATGTGCAGATGACTTCTCCTTGCCTGTGTGTGATCCTGCTCTGGAGTCCCACTTGCAGAAGTCCTTCCCAATTATAGGATAAAGAAGAGAAACATCCTGTGCCATACAGAGTACAGGCTACCATAGCCTTTCAACTCAGGATGGCTCAGTGCTCTTTTGGGTCTTCTGAAATGTCTATTAATGGGCTTATTAATCCAGAAATGATTATTCCTTACAGCAATTGGCCATGCCCATGGCTTCTCCAGATAGAGCAAGAAGCACTGGGAGCTGAGGGAGAAGTCAGGAGATGGAAGCAGCCCTGTGCTGCAGAGGGCTGAGTACAGGGAAGGAAGTAGAGTGCAGAGGCTGTGTCTAGCCTGGCAAAACACTCACCATCTGCAATGTCGATGCCTGGGCTGGTGGATGCCACCTCCCCCGCGGTGTTACCAATTGTGTCAGGGTTGTCAGAGCTGGGGCAGCTGCCCCCTTGGCACATGGGAGGTGAATATAGACTCTGGAGCAGCTCAGAAGAGCCCGAGGTGCTGTCACAGGTTTCTGACTCCCCTGGGCCTGTGTCCGTGTCCCCGGAGCCGGGGTATGCTGGGGGGCTCTGGTCGTCCACGGGTAAGGGGCAGCCCTGGCCCACGGAAGTCAGGTATCCAGGGCCTAAGGCACTCAAGCCGCCACTCACAGCCTCGTCATAGGATGGGAGCATGACGGGCACGCCGTCCACTACCACGAAGTCGGGGTCGCTGCTGGAACTCCTGGGAGGGCCCCTGTGCAGGGAAACAGTGTGAACAAGTCAGTGCACCACTCCAGGGAGGCGGCTGCCAGTGCTGGCCTCTGCATCAGGAGGTCCCTGGGCCCATGACGGGGTTGGTAGCATGGGGGTATTCCAGCCTCATTTCTGGGTCTACCCAGCTGAATGTGCCATGCTGCAGACACAGGGCATTTTAGTCTTGTTCTTCACTTATCCCCTAAGCCCCAATTATGCCCCTCAACTCCCACATACCCCAACAGAAAACATCGCCATGGTGTCTTCTCTAATGGGACCCAGAGGACAAAAATCAGCCCTGATCTTGACCTTGAAAACCTACCACTGACTGGAGTAGGTAAGACCAACTTCCCCTAAACAATTGAGAATAAATAGACGATGGAAAGACATCAAAGATTAAGAATAGCAGGTTTCGAGAACATTCTGTAAACATCTTAATATTTAGTCGATATCCTAGAAGCTTCTTCTAGGCATAGGTAGAAAATAGCTCTGTAGGCCATTTTAAAGTACTCTGATGCACTATCAATCACAACTATGCAGTCTAGCTCTTTGTAATCCTCTGGCTGCCTGGAGATACTGTAATTGTTCAGTGATAGTACATGGTCCCTTGATTAATAAATAATAATGCTGGAGAGAGAGACAGAGAGAGAGAGTGCATCAAGGGTAGATTTGAGAAGGAAGGTGTTCTGGAACTTCAGCAAGAGTTTGGCTTGATAGGGTGCCTCATCTCTGGGCCTGGGAAGGGTTGAAGGTGTGACCATGTGGGGCTCCTATTGTCAGGCAAAGGAGAAAAGTGCTAAGTGAGGTGAGGTGTTCTCAGATGTGAGGCGCAGGGGAAGGGGTGGATGCTGTCTCCCGCAAGGTGACAATTCTCTCCTTGCTCACACACCCGGGAGGTGTGAGAGACACTGGGCCTTGCTGGAAGGAAGAGAGAAGTAGTCAATTCAAAAACCCTCCTCGTCTCCTAAGCAGGGAAGGTACACGTAATTCTGGGAACTAGAATGTCCCTGCGAGAGAAAAAGCAAATTCCTGTGCTAAGGCATTAGATCTCAAACAGTAATGGTGACTGAAAAAGCCTTCCACTGGTGTGGCTTAGATCCAATTTTCAGGCAGATTCTCAGCAGCCTTTTCTTGGTTCCAACGCAGGAGTGGGAGATGTCCCATTGCACCCACTGGCTGCCCTCTTATGTCACACAACCTGACCTTGTCTCTTCTTCAGGGTAACATGCAAGTAGACCGCCCCCCACCCTCGGAGGGGTGCCCTTGGCGGGGCAGCACACAGCTTTGTTATCCCTGACTTGCCCCCATAGTGCCTGTCTCATAATGGTCTGCTGGGGAGAAAGGGCAAAGGGGCTTTCGCCAGGTGGTTTTCTCTCTCCTGCTGCCCCAGAGTACTTTGTACTCATCACCGCCTCTCTATTGCACTCACCTGGTGGGGAAGTGGGCCTTGAACTTAGTCTGGAACATCCTGGCCAGGATGACAAGCAAGAGGACCAGCAGCACGCTGGTGGCCGTGAATGCCACGATCTTCCATGTGGTTAGGAGAGTCTCGTGGGTGCTGGGCCATGTTTGCTCTGTGGTGAGAGGGAACAAATCCATATATGAGACTCCCCAACTGTAGCACTTGCTGAGGCCCCCTCCAAGTTCCTTTCCTGGAATCTTCTGGCACATGAAACATCTATGGTCTGCCATCTGGTCCCAGTAGCTCAATGGAGACAACACATACCTGATATGCCTCTTGAATTACATTCATATCTTTGGGACACCAAAACCCATCTCCAGTTTGGATTCTGCTAGGTTGAAGACAGACCTGCACATTCATATCCCAGACCATGTGCAAAAGCCTGGCACCAGTCTAATGAATGTGCTTGCTTCTTGGACAGAGAGACTGAAGAAGTTATTTTGAGCTGGACCAAGGGCTAAGGAAATGGAAGCTGGGCTAAGACCTTGGTGATAATCTATGACATGTTGCTGGCTTGGCAAAGGAAGGTGGGGTGAAGCAAAGAAGAGGAAGACTGAGAGGACACAGCTCTTCCTTAGCTCTCGCTCCATCTCCTCTGACCATCAGGTGTCTGCCAGGTAAGGGGCAGTAGGGCAGACATTTCCAGAACAGATTCCTGTCCTTTTGTATAAGTTTCCCTGCCTCCTACCTTCTCCTCCCACCTTCTCTCTCCCCTCATCATGTTCAGGGGTCATCTTCAGACTATACTTTTCTCCTCGCTGGCTCACATAACCATCTGTGAACCTCCAGATACCCAGCATTAGTAAACACTTCTCTCCCATGCTGTGTTCAGAGGAGTAGTAGGCAGACATCATTAACTGCTCCAGGCTGAGGCTATGGCCTTGGACTAGAAGACACTGAGGGGAGTGGGAAGGATGGGGAAGGGCAGGAGACCGTGGGTATGTGTGGTACCCAGGCCTCCATATGATAGGGTCATTACTAGGTGTGCTGAGATCAGCAGCAAAGTGGAATTATAAGTAATCTGTTACTAGTTAGCAAGCAATGGAACTTGCAAACGGTCTTCATTTGTGTAAGTGAGAGCAGAACAGCACATCATTTGCATTTTGTTCTGCATTCTTCAGTGGGGGTATAAAGATGGAGTCAAGCATTGCTTGGGTTCCAGAGCAATATGCATACTTAGAGTGATACCCATGGGTACGCTTGCCAGTGGAAGAGTTGAGGCTGGGAGAATTAAGACTGTGTAAAGAGGCTGAGATTCTGCCAAAGCTGCCAGGGGCTAGGGATCCTGTTTGGAGGGTGGATGGAGTTTTAGTCTAGAAATGGGTGGCTTCATAGGCCCTAAACTGGGCCTAGAATCATCTGTCAGAGTCCAGCCTTAGCTCCACATTGCCACAATGATATCTTTCTACAGCCTTTTCTTGATGCTGGGTATGGGAATGAGATGGATGCAGCCCAGGACATAGGCGGACCAAAGCGGGCAGGCAGCTCGTGATGGGCGGTAAGCCTCCCACACCTCACCTGATTTGATGCAGTAGACTTGGTAGGAAGGAAACCACTCTCCATACTGGCAGGTGATATACTTGTAGTCACTGGTGAGGCTGTAGCCAGGATCACAGTAGAACTCCACCACCGTTCCGTGGTTGTACCGCTCACAAGGCCGCGGGTGGCAGATGAAATCTCCGTGACTTACCATTGGAGGTAGTGGACAGACTTGGGCAGTGGGGGGAAATAAAAGTGTGAGAACCACAGACTCTCTTTTTCTGTGTCCTTCGCGCGCACACACACACACACACACACACACACACACACAGATGTACTTATAGTGAATTGCCTTTCAGAGAAACAGATATTGCCTCTTTGGTATGCTCCCATAAGGTCAATCAACGAAAGCCTGCTAGAATATTCTGAGCATTCGCAGTGGTCACATGGTGTGGTAAAGTCCATCGTATAAGATGGGCTCATTTTACAATTCAAAGAGCATGCCTATGTGATAGTATTAAGCTGCTCTATTAATAATGCATGCTATTATGTGTCAGACAACCTAGTAAATAAAATTAAGATATTTACAAATAAAATCTTTACTGAAAGGCACGGCAATGCCAAGTCTGTTTCTGTGAGCACAGCAGTTATTTGAGACTCTTCAAAACATGGGGCTGTGGCCCTACTTAGTCCCCAGAGTCCTGCTGGGGTTTGGCCAAAGAACAATACTGAGTGATTTTTGCTCTTCTTTTGGAACCAGGCCATGAACTCCCATTCACAGGCACAGTAGATCAACAGGGACCAGGGGTTTGGAGCCAAGGGTTCTAGGCTGGCCTCTGCCACCAACACACTGTGTGACCTGGAAATTGGACACTTTGTAAGTCTTGATTCCCTCCTCTGTGAGGTAGAAGCCTATTTGGATCTAGATTTTGTCTGGGAGGCTTTCTGACTAATATTCCCTGTTGTCAGAGGGAGAAAACTGTTATAATCTTGAGATTGCATTTCTAGGCTGAAATATAAGAATAGCTCCAACTCCTGAAATGGAAAGACCTCATTCATCTCATGCCACAAGAGCTCTCTTCCCTGGAGAAGAACTCACAAGTAAATGGCCACTTACACATTTGTCAGGAAACAATCTGCAAATCTTACCCATTTCAGATTTAAGTCCACACTATTGAGACCTCAGTAGTAGTAGACCAAAACAAACCCTAAAAAGAGCCAACTGTGTGTGTGTGTGTGTGTGTGTGTGTGTGTGTGTGTGTGTGTGTGTGCCGGGTGGGGGGTGGGGGTGGTCCTGGGGCTTGAACTCAGGCCCTGAGCTTTTTGCTCATGGCTAGCACTCTACCACTTGAGCCATTTCTGGCTTTTTGGCAGTTAACTTTTGGTTGTTAAAGATCATGAGTTAAGAGTCTCATGGACTTTCTTGTCCAGACTGGCTTTGAGTCATGATTCTCATATTCCAGCCTCCTGAGTAGCTAGGATTACAGGAGTGAGCCATGGGTACTTGGCAAGAGCAAACTTCTGACCTTCTCTCTGAAAGTAACTAAATATATTAACTAGTGTACAACCTGAGACACCACCTACCACACACTGGCAGTTAGTACTACACTGGCAGCCTGAGTCCACTGAGGCTACGTAACTAGACAGCCTCTTGATAGAGTTGCCCCAAGCCATGCCACCTGATGTTCCTCCCCTGATCCCTCTAATGAACACAATGCTGAAATGCATATCTGCTTGGCTCTTAAAGCTAGGGAGTCTCACGAAACTATAGAGGGAAAGGGAGCTGAAGTATGTGTTCCACACAGTGAACTTCCACTGCACTGCTCACCAGCTGAGCAAGTGCTTCCACCTCCTCACGTAACACAAGAGTCTCTGCGAGCTGTCTTCAGGAATGCTGCTAAGGTAAAGGCCTTCGTTCAGAGCCCACATATTGCAGTGGAAAGGCCAGGACCTGAGCATCGAGAGAGAGGAAAGGGTTCTAGGCTGTTTTGGCTTCCATGGAAGGGCAGAAAAGCCAACAGGGGCATCTCAAAATCAGCAACAGCAAGAGGCGACTTCCATCCCTGTAGTTAGAAATGCTATGTCGTGTCCCAGAGTCAGCTAAGGGTAGATTTCAACTCTCAGCACTAACATGTAAAGATAACTGTGAGGAGACAGAGGCATTAACTTGCTTGGCTGTAGTGATGTCACTATGTGTATGCATATCAAAACATTGTGTTGTACACATAGAATATATAAAACTTGGATGAAAGAATATAGAGAGAGCATCAAGCTCTCCTCCTAGCAGGCTCTCCCAGCAAGTCTCTGAACTGTTTCCAAGGGCCAGAAAACAGCATGAAAGAGGTGAAGTATAAGTGTGTGCAAGTTTGTTATCAGAAGCACTTGCTACTTGGCCTGAAGAGTAAAAGACTGTTCAAAACACTGATTTAGCCCTAGGCAAATGGTCCTGTGATTTGCTAAAGCATTGCTACACTCTTCATTTAAAGAGGCAAAGGGAGGCTTGAGAGAGTGTGGGTGGAATCGTCCAAATTTGGGTACAAATGACCCCTTTCCTTCTGATACAGTGTAGGGTGTCACTTCTTAGGGTCTGAACTTCTTGAGTTGTAAGGATTAGAAGTATGTGTAAATTTCCATACACAAAGTCAGGGACACAGTGGATACTTAATAAGTAATAGCTATTATAGCATTGCTTCCTAAACTAACTTGCTGGATATCTGGTGCTGGACCTTCCCAGGCAGTGCCCCATTTCCAGGTCGCTTACGCAAGGAGGGTTTTCAGGTTGTCCCAAGGCGGTCCCAATCCTCAGAGAACCTGGACAAATGTTTCCACTGTGTTTTCTCAGAGGTCAGATAACAGCCATGGGATGGTTGTTGTGTTCTGACACTGTCATGGTTGGCAGCATGTAATGGACATACACTTCCCCTTAAGTGGAAACATTTATCTTCACACCTCACACTAACGACGGCACCCAGCAAACCATTAGCTTTTCTGTAGAGGAATCCCCTGTGTGCTGATGCTTACGCGTGTCACAGAGTGGGGAGTGTTTCTTTTGACTTGGAAGGAAATGAGAGCAGAAGTACTGTCGATTACAAACCTGTAGACACAGATTTAAAAAGCCAAAGGAGTACTACCTGGGGTTCAAAGAGACTTCCATTCCTACCCAACACAGCCTAACCACGGGAGGAAACTGAGTTCTGCTATTCTATCCTTTTCACACTGCCCCTAAGACGCAGGCCATTCTAGACAGAGACAGATAAACAGACAGACAGACAGATAAGCACACACTCCAACCCAAAGAGCTCATGCACAGGACAAATAGCCCTATTAACCATGGCTGCCCAGCTAGCATTTGAAATAATCCACACTTTCCACGAAGCTCCAATGAGCCAATGCAGTGTGGCTTCACCTCCAAACTGCTTTACGCTCAGCCTGTGACTCACGCCATTAGCTGCTAGTTCTGAGCAAAACACCCCTGTGGGTGGCACAGATTCTTCTGTAACTTAACTTTAAAAACACTTTCTTACCACTTCAGGAATGATCAGAAATAGTGATTGCTTTGATGAGGCTTATAGTATGGACATTTAATGGCTACAAAGCAGAATCAAAGCAAAGCTCTGTTGAGGTTCAACCAGAAGAGGAGAAAAAAATTACAGTCCACCAGCTGTCAATGCTCTGTTCCTTGTTGGTTGACAGAGGGCTACGGTACTTCTCAGAATAGCGGGAAAATTCCTACCTACACAAAGGGTTGCAGAACAGTTTTTTTTTTTTAAATAGGTTTTGTATAGGCCCTGTATTGGCTAAAAATGGCCTGCTAGGGTTGGACAGTGAGCAAAAGCTTGCTATGAGACTTCAGATTCCCTAAATAAGTTCTCCCTACCCCCACCCACCCCCCACCCCTGTTTCCCTATCCTAGAAAGTTCATGGGCAGCTCCTTTTATTCCCATGGAAGTCCTGTACTCACGCCTTCTGCTTCTTGTCCTTTTCAGATTAAGTCCAGGACAAGCACCAGCTTCCTCAGGACACCTCTGTACCTAGCCAATGACTGCATTGTTTACCCAGATGCTTCTTGACCTACAGTGTATGTGTCCTGATAATTCATCATACAACTAGTGTAAATCCTGTCTCATTAGCAGTGTATAATTGTAATGTTAGATTTGATCAGCTAATACTTGTTGAAGGCTTCATGAGATGCTGATCTATAGTTTTCTTGTAATTTCTTTGTGATGTTAGGGTAATGCGGCCTCACAGAATGAGTCAGGAAGTACTCCCTCCACCTTCATCTTCCCACTCAGTTTCCTCCCCTATCAAACAAGAGAAATCTACTTACTAGAGTTTTTGTGAGGATTGTAAGAGTGAAGGAACCTTGGCAAGCAGCTTGCTAACGGAGGTTCACACTCGGTACTAAATTTGCTTGGCTTATTTTCAGAGGCAGGGGCCTATAGCCCTAGCATCAACACAAGGTGAAGTTGCTGGGGTGTTTGGGAAGAGGGGAGCATTTTTGCTGACTACCTGGTGACTGCTGACTAACAGATTTCAAGTTAAGGAACAGCTCACGTAACCTCTGACCACAGGTTCTCTGCTTCAACAGCGACCACTGAGAGGCACAGAAAAGAGACTTAACTTCTATTATGTTTGGGCCATGATCTATTTTTGGGAACCTTCACAGTAACGGTCTATCATAAACAGCTAACCTAAGAAATGAGTAACAGATAAGCATTTATTCTGTGAAACAGGATTAGCTGCTTGAACAATGGTCAGCACTCACGCTTGTTGCCATTTGATGCTGCATTTGAAGAGTGTCTTAATGACTTGAGTCCGTGGTTCTTTAGCTCTATTTGTACACTAGAAACACCTGGGGAGTTTTGTCCATTTAGCCAGTGTTGGGTTCTGGTCTTGACTAGGCCTTTACAACTTTCTCAGTGCTTCTACATGGTAATTAGAGTTGAGGAGTACTGCCTAATGCAGTTATGATAGACAGCTGGAATAAAACCATCAAGTTTTTCTCCATTTTCTACCTGCTAGGGATCGGGGCATATTATACTCTGGAGCTAGTGGGTCTTCCCTTTCCACCAGGTCCTTGCCATCTGAACTGTGGAATCAGCTAGGAGCTCAGAAATACAAGGCTCAGTCTGGATATAGTGGCACATGTCTGTAATTCTAGATACTCAAGAGATGGAGGCAAGAGAATCATAAGTTTGAGGTCACTTAGGAAAAGCTAACAGGGAGATCTTGTCTCA